AAAAAAAAAAAAAAAAAGGGGGGGGGGGGAGAGAGAATAATCCCATACAAACAGAAAAGGAAAAGATACTTGCTTACATGGACAAATAAAGTAATTTGTATTTTACTCACCCCCGAGTACAATTTGGATGGCAGAGCTGACAAACTGAATTTTCATCTGCATATTTCCAGACTAAGGTATCATTCTCACCCAGGACTCCAGCTGGGCAAGATTTAACACAGTGAGGACCATCAATATAATGGGCACACTTCATACAGTTGTCTGGTCCCTGAATAAAGACCAAGAAATTGTAATACATTTGCCCTAGCCACATAGTGACTTATGTGAACAGAGGCTTTCGATACAGTTGTTTGATCATTTGACATGTAAATGTTCCTCTGTTGCATTATCTCCTAAAGAAATACTCACAAATTTCTATTACTTTTATACAACACGTTCTGAAGATCCTGATGTTAAATGAAGCAGCTGTCTGAGTCTCATCTCTGCTGAATGGTTCTTACTCATTTATAATTTTCTTACCTTCTGCCTTACTAAAAAGCTTACATTTTTTGTTTAAAACCATGAGTAATTTTATGATATCCTGATAACAAATAAATGTAACACCCAGAGGCCAGGTCCCCAGGTGGGGAAAATCTCCATAGTTTTAATGAAACCCACAGAGATGTACCGATTGCTATGAACTAGGGATTGGGCCCATAATTTTCCTTGGTTTTTTGCATTATCTTCTGAAACATTGTTTTCTTTTGTACTGGAGAAGGAAGGAAATTTAGGTGGAAATAGAAAGGCCCACCATACTTGTATTTCCATGTGCTTTTCCCTGGCCTTTTTCTATAACAGTGACATTTTCACTGAGATTGTAACAGCAGCAGAAAGATATCCTTGGTGCTCTGCAGGAGAACAAGCAGTCCTGGGTGATGAAATTGCATCTTTTGAAGAAAAAGCTGGAAACGTTAGTTTCATGACAGTAGGAAGGCAGCAAGATTGCATGTCAGCAGAGTATGACTTTTTAGTTATATGATATCAGTAGGCAATCAATCACAAAGCGGGTTTTTTCCAGTTTTAAAATTGAAATATTCAGATTATCTTGCTGGTCTAGTGCATTTCCAAGCAGGGACACGATGAAGTGCATTATGAGGTTGCTATACCAGATCCTCATCGCTGATACTGTGTGTTTACTTGAATTACTACTTTTAATGCCTAGGAGTCCTGCTAATGGACCAGGCCTCTATTTTGCTAGGTGCTATACAAATACAGAACAAAAAGATGGCCCACCAGCCGGAAGGAGTTTGCAGTCAGAGTTACAGGGCAAATGACCCACACAGTTCTAAACCATAAAGGGGAGGAACAAAATACTTTGCATTACTGACCAGTGCCTTTTCCAGCTGATTAGGAAAGGCCAGGCATCCTGTGTCAGGATACTGGCTATGTTGTAGTAAGGTTGTCAGCAGTTAGATTGTAAAACAGAGGGTAGAGTAAAAGGGGGAACCATGAGGATCTGGGAGGGAAATGGAAGCTCCTATTCTTTCCAAGAAAGCCGAATATCAGATTAATGGCCACATGAATTCAAACACCCTGCAAGTTAAAAATGTGCGTCCGAATTCAGGCCTGCATTTGGAGATGCACCCTCTTACCTCAGGGTTGAATTTGGCACTACCATGTAAAAAGAGAGAGAGGAGTTTATGTTTATGTACAGGCAAGACTTGGTATTTTGAGAAATAAGAGGATTTTAAGAATCTGAGAAGGATGAGACAGAGGGACTGTGCTGCTGCTTGTTAAGGAAGATCAAGGCTTTTTTAAGTTTTTACCAAAAAACCCCCTGCATAGGCATTCAGAATGCTTATCAGGATATCATAAAATTATTCATGGTTTTAAACAAAAAAATAAGCTTTTTAGAAGGCAAGAAAACTACACGAGTAACAATAAAACTTTGAAAAAATAATCATCTCATTTTAATTAGCCTTTTTTAAAATCTGTATCAATTTACAGCCCATCCTTACGTTACAAAGGATATATATTATTGAATTTGGTAGGCTGGAGATCCTGGTTTTAAATAATGTGTCCACTTAAACACCTGTTATTGATCACAATTTGATCCTGAGACTTCAGAGATGAGAAACTAGTGCATTTGTCTACTAGTATTAATAATTTTTAATTACTTACATAGTACTTCAGAACCCAACCTCCCTAAAAGGGAGTTTCCACATGCTTTATGCTAACCTGCCTCTTTAACAACTGTTTCTAACATGTTCACCTAATCACAGTATTTGTATGTCGCACTTACAGGTCCTGTGCAAGTTGTATTGTATGCTGTTGAGTTTTGCACTAGGCATTCTGCATGACACGGGAGACATTCAGAGTCTCTTTCAAATTCTCTTGGCTCTCTGAAATGTAAGCAAGGAACAGAAATGAATAATTGACAGAATGTCACTTTTAGATTTGTTTTAGAGCTCTTTGAACCCCTATAAGTTCTTCCTGGTTTGCATATGTGGTGCCTGAAATAAGAAGATACTAGTCAAGAAGGTTTTTTTTTGTTTTTTTGTTTTGTTTTTTTTAATAAGAGTACAGCAGTGTAAGAGCACAACAGGAGAAAAGTTGAGGAGGAAAATTCAACTCACATTGCTATACAAGGCGATTAAGAACACATGCTACAAAGCAGTCATCTTAACATTTTGAGTTAATGATGAAGAATCTTAAAGACCCCTGAAACATTTTACATTAGAGCACTGCAAACAAGTCAGGAAAACAGTTCACAAATCTCAGATAGATTCTTAATAATTAAGGAACTTAAATAGAAATTGGCTGATAATTAGATTCATGCCCTTCCTACAACACCATGAATCATTAAAATATGAAAGCAGGGAGCAGATGGTTTTGATAGCAATAGAGCTGTTCCACTTCAAGTAACAAAAATGCCCAGATCTGTCCTTTGGGTCATGATATCTGCTAGCAGTATTCACTTAAAAAAACACAACAGCTGTTGAACTACAGGTCACTAGACAAATATAAACATTATGGACACCATCAGATAAAGTTAGTTGCGTAATATTAATGATTAAGTAAAATAACCTTTGAGGAATCAGCAAAAAAGAAAAAGAAATAATTCCTCTGAGAGTTCTGTGGATAAAAATATATTGTGCATCTGATTCAAAATACTGAAAACCTTTCAGGGTTGTAATCAGACCATCGTTATCATGCTAGCTGATTCTTTATCATATATTTTCTTGTTGAAATGACTACTCATCAAGACATAGGTACTTATAAATTTTGCTTATCATAAGTGAAGCTGATGGAACTATTTTGCCTGAAGTAACTGCTCTGAGTGTACTACAGTACTTACAACAATTCTTGCCTTAATAGCAGCTTTGTTATAAAAGTGGGTATGAATTGGTAGGGGCCAATTCACTGATATACATGACATGTTCCCATTTATTTCAATGGGAGACGTTCATATGCATCTGAGGGCTGACTTAAATACTTTATGCCACGTTTCAGTAAATAACTTGCATGTAATTTTAAGCAAGCTGAAGAGCCCCTGTGAAGTAAACAGGGCTACAAAAATGGGTAAAATATAGCTCCACTGACATCAGTGTGAACAATCCCATCAATTATGCTGTAGCCATGATCTCGGCCAGAGTGCTTCAAGCTATCGACAATCTTAAGAAATGGATTTGTAAAGAGTGCTCAGGGATTGATGCTCCTTGATCTTCACTGGGACTAGAGTGCTGGAGATCCAGCAGTCCTCAGGCAGGATTTACAGGAATTATTCAGTTCATATTTCCCTTCTTTTGTGGTTCACCTACTCCTCTGTTTGGTTAATTAGAGAAGGGTATTTTCTCTCCCTTTTCTGTATCTATATACCAAGTTCAAACCAGTATTCTTTGCAAAAGTAGCAAAACCAGATACAAAAAGAATCTCTGTTTTTATTTTCCTCTTTATACTATCAATCTAGTCATATAAAAATATCAAGACAATACTGAACATCTTACCCTTGCATTATATTGCACTGGTTCACACACTCCCTCTGACGCTTGAAAAAACGACAGGAAAAGCAACGGGAGGGCCCTGGCCCCCAACACCCAACATCTGAACATAAGGGGTCACAAATGTGTCCTGCAGTGGCTAAAAGGCACAGAAACAAGAGTTGGAAGGTCAAGGCAGGAAATGTGAAGTAATTAAAACACTGCAAATGACTCATTTTTGAGAGGCAATTATACAAAATTATTATTAAGACAATATGAAGGATCCCAACAGTAGTGCAGAGTCTGAGGAGGAGTGTTCATTCTTTTCTCAAAGCTGCAAATTAAGAGTAACTATTAGCTTTGCAAAAGGTAAAAAAAAAAAAAAAAAACCCAAAGAAACAGGCTGTTCTGTTGCTGTTTGTTAGTTATCTATAACTTATGAATTGTAATTCCTGATAGCAATATTTAATATATCACAAACCTATGTGCTACAGACAGAAGCAATTAGGGCTCGATCCAATGTTCAGAGTTAATGGGAAACATCAGCGGACTTTAGCTTTGACCTTGACTGAATAAGGCATGCATATGGTGTTGGAATTAGTATCTCTAACCTTCAGCTCACAATCTAGAAACCTCTAAGGCTTAAACAAGACCAAAGTGGATCTTCCCTAGTAGTCAGTCATAGTGTGGTGTGGACCAAACACTAGGGCAAAAACATGACACCTTCATACTCAGAGGTTCCAGGGGGTGCAGTGGTGTGGAGGTACCTACCTTCCACATTGTAAGTCACATGGTGGCATCTCCCAGTCCCCAAGGTCCCAGATACCTGGAGCCCTGGGCTGGCATGGGACACCCCGGAGACCAGGAAGAGAGCAGGTGAAAAAGACGGGGCCTGCCTGCAGCCATCACTGTCCCAAACTGACTGGGGGCAAGGGAAGCCCCTGGACTGCTCCTAGCCCACTGCAACCAGGGGCTACCAGGAATAGCTGTACAGAGTACCAGGTTCAGCAGCAGTAGGCATGTCCCTATTCACTCTCCCTCCACAACATTTCTCCTCTCCCCAGGTTACAGGCTTCAGCTGCAGGAAGTGGCTACATGGGGTGCTGGGTTTGGCAGGGGAGGAGAAATTGGTGGTGCCCCTTTCCAGTGTCTGCTCCTGGCCAGGGGGGGACACCAGCAGGGACTGTGGCAGCAAACTGGTCCCTGCTTCCTATGCCCAGCAGCAAACCGTAGGCAAACCCTGCTGGAGATAGGGAAGGGAAGGGAATGGAGGAAAGGGGTGACAGCAGGGTAGGGGGAGGAGGAGATGGGAGTCTTACCTGCTTCAGGGACTCAAATGTCCCTGGCAGATGCTGCCGTGGCATGATAGAAATGGGATGCAACCACCCCTGTGGTGCTGGGGCCATGTTCCATACCCCGCTTTTTGAATTTCCACTTATGCACAGACTTCCATACAGTATAAGTGACTGTGGGCCTATACCTAGCATCAGAGGTTTTATTTACTTAATTCCCTCCAACTGGAAACTCAGCTGCCAGAATCCAAATTCTGTTTGCTCAGTACCTCATAATATTAACCTCTTGAAAATTATGTTGAGGCCTTGAATTTGCTGAGAATGAACTGCAGGTAGCAAAGCTTCCTTAGGCACTCTGCTCTTGGTACTATCAGGAGGGAAGTGACTTTTCATTAGTGCAGCCTCAGCAATTGCCCTCATCAAGCAAGAGACTGAATTTTGACTAAGCTTCCCCCCTGCATCCAAATGAAAAGCAATTGTGGATAACAATCCAGGGCATCACTCATTGAGCAGATATTCACATGAGCCTTACTATACTAATTTGATCAGCCCCAGATACATGTTGAGATCCCTGAAGTCAAACCCTAGACCAACGACGAAGCTCCCACTGACTTTAACAGAGCCATGATTTCACCACTGCTTTCCCCATGTCCAACAGAGAAACAAATGCAACTAAACGCATCCAGCTCACCACAATCACATTTCAGTGAAAAATCTTAATCCTCACCTCAGACTTCTTCTTCTAGAAGCCACGTTACAACTGCTACCACAACAGGCAGGTCTGCTAGTGACTTCTCTTAAAATAGCAGAAGTCAAGAGTTAGGGTGGTTAATTTCAGTGCAATAGTGAGGAACTAGGCTTTGTGTTTGGCTGTAGGCTAGGATTCAGGGGAGCTATAAAACAGAGATATCACGAATATTTGGCTGGTAAGGCATGTGAGTTGACACTGGGGTGGACGTGACTATCAGCTCTACTGCTGGGCCATGGAGTTATTTCTGTAATTCTGTTGATCAATAAGCGAAACCTAACAACAGTCCAGTAACTGGTCCACAAAGATGTTTGTGAATAGTTATTAACTTACCACATTCAGTTTTATCTCCGTTTTGTGAAATTTTTGTTTTCTGAGTAGGTGTTGCAAATAGGCTGTGCCAATTCACTGTATCAGCATAGCAGAGGTTCTTGTTTTTCATGATGGCCACATCACCATCACTTATTCCCTGGAGCGAGCGCAATCCCAGGGACTGTATCATTAGGTTAACTACAGCAAGAGAATACTGACCACTAACGTGGACACAGGAAAAAAAGAACAGACAAAGAAAAGGATGGTTAAATATAGTTTTACTTGGTACATTTTCTTTTTGATTTTCTGAGACCGAGATGAAATAGAGAATATAAGTTTTGTTTATGGAGTTTTGTTTTAAGTCCCCCAACTTCATGTATAACATTACAGTATATATGGCACAAAAACAATTTGTAAAGCCACCATAAGATTCATATCTGACTTTCTGTAAGCATCTGAAGTCAAATTCTGCAGTTCAGTATCTCTATACTGTATCCTACACATGCTAAAAATAGGGTAAGTCTAAAGTAAGTTTGTATTGGACTGTGCCACACTAGTGTGCCAGTACAGCCCTGAACATAATGAGGGCCTGAGCCATATTAGGACTTTTAGGCAATGCTGTTACTCACTCTTGAGGGCCCTGACATCAGGGCTTTGTTGTACTATGGATCTTACAAATGCGTAAGTAGTGAAAACAGGTCACAAACTCCAGAAAAGACAGAGGAAGAATGGAAGAAACAAAATATTGGTTTTACAGATGCAGAACTGATGCATGTGCAGACTGTGGAACTTGCTCAAAATCTGCGAGGTGAGCACTAGGGGCATGTGAAATGGGCCGTATTCGATTCAGGTTCAGACTGAATCGGGGACAGTGATTTGATTTGTTTACTTGGATCACTGTCCCTGATTCAATTTGGCCGAATCCGAAGATTCGATGCCGATTCGGGGAAAAAAAAACAAAAACCCCACCCCAAAAACCCCAGTGATTCGGCCATAGACACAGCTTTAAATGTTTTTTCTACATACCTCAAGGTACCAGCGTGGTTCGTGAATGCTGCAATGCTGGGGTGGATGGAGCATCCCACAGGAGTGTGGAGGGCTCCCCATGTGCTCAGCAGTGAACCTGGAAGTCCACCCCACCCCGGATCGGTGATCGGCTATGACGAGACCGCGGGTGCCTCCCCAGACCCAGGAGGCACCAGTCACTGAGTTGGGGGAAGGGGGCGCAGAGGAGCCCCCCCAGCACGATCCCCAGCAGCTGATCAGTTGGCCCCAGCAGACCCAGAAATGGACCGGAAGTGCTTCTTGTGCACTTCCAGGTCCGCTGCCAACCGTGCTGGGGATCCCCCCATGCTCCTGTGGGATGTGCCATGCACCCCCACCATCTCAGCATTCACAAACTGTTGGTACCTTGAGGTATGTAGAAAAAATATTTAAAGCTGTGTCTACATCTGAATCATTAAATCTTTCCAAATCTCTCCAAACCTATTTGGATGGTTCCGATTCAATTCAGGGAGATTAAAGGGTCTCCTGATTTGATCTGGACTCAGATATTCCGCCACCGAATTGGGCCGAATCTCCGCTGAATCGAATCAGGGACTGAAGCTTCGCACAACCCTAGTGAGCATCAGTAACTGGAGCCCGATTCCCTGGTCCCTGCTTGTGTCTTGGTCACAAACAAAACCATCCCTTTCTCACCTATAAACAGGAAAGTTCTTGACTTAGTCACTTGGACACACAAAGCCAAATTTTCTGCTGATATTAAATGGCTCAGATCCACTGACTTCAACCCGACAGCACCAATTTATACCAGCCAAGAATTTAGTCCAAGCTTTGCAAAACATCTATTATTTAATCCTTTCAGACAAACACAGCTGTAAACAGAGTCTCTCTCACACTCGCTCTGGCACATTCTTTACTTACTGTTGCTTAGTTCTGCCTCTTATAATCTCCAGATTTTCAAAAGCGTGGAGATCGGTGGCATTTTCAGGCCAAGCTTGAATTAACAAAAACCCTGAAACACACACAAATCCCATCATGAAAACAAAACAAAACAAAACCTCCAAATACCACCTTGAAAATGTGCTTTTAAATCAACTGCTATTCAGCTCAGAAGAAACTCTGCCTCCTTTAAGTCTTTACAAGAATTTAAAACAATGGATTGTATTTTCAGGAGTGCAAGGATATTTTTAACTCTGCTTTGTAAACAATTTACTTTTAGGCCACCAGAACAGCTTCATATTTTAAGAGGTTATGTGTAACCAAGATGTACAACTAATGTATTTGAGAGAGACCACAGGATTTTCTGCTTATCAGGAAATATTGTAGTAGAAATTTCACTGAAACATGAGAAAAGCACTGTTTTTTCCAACACCACTTGCTTTTAGGGAATGGAAATGCTGAGCAGGGAAAAGCAAAATTGGGTTTACCAGCTAAACAAACAGATTTTTCTGCTTGAATGAGGCATTTGAAAGGGAAAGCATTTGGGACATAGCATTGTAAGATATCAAAATGCATTTCCCCAAAGTTTAGCAGCAGCTACTGAAAAAGTAATTGAGTAGATTGAAAATAAGGAACAGTCCTGGTCAAGTTTGCAGGTCCAGCTCTGACCTTATCCTACTTTTCTAACAGTGTGGATTCGCTGGGCTCCAGTCTCAACTTATGTTGGTGCAAGATCAAAACTCAGCACTAGCTGCTCATCCGTGTTACCTTTGGGTCCCGGGCATGGGCATCCAGATTGTTAGGAGCATCTTCCACTCATGAGATGTAAGTGACTGAGCACCATTTCCCCCAATTTTAAATTCCCATAAATAGGAATATACCCATTTTTTTCACTCAGTTGAGATAACATTTCCTGTGCCTCTACTTCACCACATTCAGCCCCCAAAAGTATTGCTAGTTTACTCTTAGAGGAGTCCAACAAGTCACCAGATGGGACTGCCAGGGAAAATCATGATGTCTCTGGATTCACACCTGTATTAAGAGAAGCATTTTCAGGATGATAACTATCTGGCAAAATTGAAATCCAAACATATCACTAACCTGTTATTTCCTTAACTGTTTTAAAGACATCCAGTTTCCTTGGGTCCAAAGGTTTGGTTTTTGTGAATGCATCACTACAACAAAAAGAATAAAGATTTTTTTTAAACAAGAGCAAATCTGCTTTCACTGCTGCAGCATCTAAATCACCAACCCAGCTCCCTCTCCACAGGCCACAGAAGCCTCAGTTGACAACTTACCCAAAGAACGCTACTGGCAGGATGCTGACGTCCCCATTGATCTTGGTACAATTTTTGAAAGAGTCAATATTTGTAGCATTGATGGAGAGAATCCCTTTAAGTTCACCTATTCCAATCCCATTGCAAACTGTCAAAAATGGGGTGTGGGGAAAAAAAGAGCTCAAAAGTTGCATGTTTTTTTCAGCAAGTTTAAAAATGAAAAAATAAGAAAATAAATATTGGCACAGTGTTATTTAGGGCTGAAGCTATATACCATAAAATTAACTACAGAATGATAAGACAGCCTAAAGGATATGGCAATAATATAAGAGCCATAGTATATTGGCATTGTGGGACTATGTCTGATCTATAAAAGGGTCCCTTTACACTGCTCTGTCCCTGGATAGTTACAAATGAAAAATTCATTTAGAAGAGCAAAAGCGAAAGGAAAAAGGTAATTCACAGCCATATGCAAGGGCTGGAGAGATGTTCAAGACAGTGTTAGAAATAGAAAGCCTGGTTCATCTCTTTTACACCAATACTAACCCAGGAACCAAGTGACAGGACTAATGTAAGAGACAAAAAAGATGAACAGGGAAGGGAGAGATGCGTTAAATTTGTAAGGTATGTGGCAACCAGGGTATAGCTATGACTGAAGTGAGTGGTAAGTAAATAAAGGCTGTTCAAAGATGGAGTGGATGTAGATTTTTTTTGTAAGTTATAGGTCTCAGCAGCTTGGCTTCAGAGAGGCCACGTAGTTGGAATTTATAATACCTAAGTCAAGAAGAGATGAAACTGTGGATGTGATTTTTCAGCAGAGGTGAAGTGAAGGCTGTGGTGTGAATGAATATTTCTTTACAGACATGGAGAAAGTCTTTATGAGGGTATAGACATAGCCCTAGTAAACCCTGCATAAGCTACAAAACATTTTGATCTAAGGGGATAATGAGGACAGAGGATGGGGAGTCATGACCAAATGACATGATAGTCTCGTTTATGATCTCTACACCCAGATGATGCACACGTTACTTGCAACACTAGGATAAGACCCGGGATCTTCCGGGAAAGCTAGGTGTTTTGAGACATGGGCATAGTCATGCTGGTTTAAAGCCAACATCCATCCAGTCCACTCTCATCTTTAACTGTAGCTGGCACCAGTTACTTCAGAGAAAACTGCCTCTCACAATAGGTTACATATTTTTAAAAGGAACTGTAAAAGTGTTTGTGTGGCCCAGGATGTGAGCCCATCCCAGCATGTACATAGGTACTCCTTTCCAAACATGCTGTTTTACTAGGTCAAAAGGCTGGGGAGAGCAGAGAATGCAAAAGGCAGGTATACAAATCGAGCAATCTTGTGTTGAACCCAAAAGTAGATCTGCGGGTCTGAGCGTTTCTACTGACAGCCCCTGTTTACATGCAAAATAAGTCCTTCAACAGAGTGAACACAAAAGCAAACTTTATTAGAATTTCTAATTACAAATATTGCTAGCAAATCAAGAATAATGCAATACATATCTAGATATACTTTTATGACCCAAGCAGAAACAAGCAGGTCTCACAGCCTGGAATCTCCATCTTTAAATGTTAAGAATTTCTAGCTGGCAGCCAGCTCATCGGGGAGATCTTACCCAAATTCTGAGACTAAATTCTAAGGGGTTTTGGATCTTTATTGCATCTGAAAATGGGAACGTCCACAAAAGGACACCAGAGGAAGACATGTCAGAGCATTGAGCCCCTTTTTATCCCCCTCCTCAAACAAAGTCTTATATCAAAACTCGATGGAAACTTTGACAAATATGGTCAGAAAGGAAACACTCTTGTATCACCTAGAACGTAGTGACTTGAACCTGTAATAAAGCTTTGATGTCCTAAGACTGGATAGCCTTCTCAAGAAATTTATTTCACCTAGGACTCCGATCCTTTTACACTACTTCCCTTAGCTTCATTTATGCTAGCATGGGCCAACTTAGTTAACGTGCCTGAAAGCTTATTAAAGCCACTATAAAGCAAGCTAAAGTGATTCTAGCTCAATACAAAGGCCTACACCTGTACTAAAGGCAGAATTTACTTTTTTCACATGCAAGGCAACACCAGTTTCCCTACTGAACTCTCTGCCTAGGCCACTCTACTATTATTGGATAGTTATATTACAATTGCACTGAGAGCTCCCCAAAAACAGGCTGAGTCCTGCTTGGTTAGGCACTTTCTCAACTAAACTCTCTCAAAGCTATACAATGAAATACTTTCCCATGTGTTTTATACCTTTGCTGCAAATCCCATCACACTTTTTACATTTCCGAACACCATTTTCTTCCACTTCATAGGTATCCACATTACATGACCGAACACAGGAGCCGTGGTCTGTCACCACATAGTTATCTGGGAAGACAAGAGAGTAAACAAATGGAGACTGAATAAAAGAGAGATGTGTCAAGGCTTGCATTTATGCTGTAGACAGAAATTTAGCTAATACAAAATGCTAAAAAAGCCTTTTAAATGTTAAAATAGGGAGAGGAAAATTAAACCTCAAGTATTAGCATTCTTAGCAAATTAGTATGGCCACTAGCAAATTAATCCTCAAAACACCTCCTCAGAGGTAGGTGCATAAATATCATCACCTTCATTTTACAACTAGGGTAATTCAAGGCAGAAAGAAGTAGTGATGTTCCAAACAGTGAATCTATAACATTGTCTTGATGAGAACATGGCACGACCTGATTCTCAGTCTTGTCCTCATTCTTCCCAGTCACCTACCTCCCAAAGCTAGGCAATCTTCAGGTACTGTCACCAATTCTTCAGGCCAGAATTAAGTAAATGTTTTTTTAAAAAGGACAATGGGTAGGGAATAGTGCTAAATGAAGACAAAACTTCTATACTGGGGGGGAAGGATACAGGAGTTTTGGGACTGGTGTCATAAATAGGTGTTATAGGCACCTATTAAAAACCAACACAGATTTATTAATTGGCTTTCCATTAAATAAAATGGACACAGTCCAAGTAAACTTACGGGGACATTTCTTCACACACGTGGCTCCAAAGCTGTATTTTCCATCTGGATTGGCATCCATCTGGTAGGTGGTGGGATTATACAGAACTAAAGGTGGGCAAGTATCCTTGCAGGTTGCTTCATCGCGAAACTTGCGACATGCCTGTTATTAAAGATTATGACCACAGCACTAGGTAAAATGCAATCTGTTTTTAAAAGTATAACAACCTCATGTTGTCTATTTTACATGGCCAGATCAATGAAGCACTTAACACCAATAGAGGTGCTAAGCAATCTACAGGACGGGTCTCAGGTGAAAGGGTTCTGAGGTCAGTTCAGAAATCCTGTCTGATATTTACAAAACTAAAGAGCAGGAGGCTTCATTATCTGAATCCATTCATCCACATCACTTCTGCCTTACAAAGTCCTTACTGGGCCAAGCTCTGGTGCTACAATGAAACCCTCCTGGGCAGTCCCTTACACTCATGTGCGGAGAGGGTCGGCTCCATATGGACATGAATCTACTCATATGTATCAGAGAGCAAGTAACGGCCAAAAAAAAGCAGTAACCAGATCAAGACAAATGTCTGTTTTACTTGCTGGCAACTTCTTTATAACGTTAATGAAATCTAGTATTTTACTGTCAGTTACCAACTTAGGCACTTTAATATTAAACCAAGGCCGTATTTAACTACATATAATGAACAACTTAATGGGCATTTATAAAGAGAAAATCTTTTCTTGAAATCTTATTCCGCATTCCCGTTTACAATTATTCTTTCCCTCTTTTCTTTCCTGGCTTTCTTGATGAGAGAATAAGTGTCCTCTGCCAACAATTGGTACGAACAGTTTTAATGTCATTTATTTACCATAGGCACAAAAACATATATAACAGAAAAAAAGAGAGACACAGAGTTTCCATTGGCATTGGTTGCAACTGACTTCGTGCCAAGTTAAAGAGTTGTTTAAAAAATGTTTAAAATAAAGCATAACAATTGAAATGTAATGACTAAAAAATAAAATGCAGAAAGATTTATCCTAGATTCCTTCTCACCCGCAGTGTTATGAACCCTAACAGCACCATTGTTCTAGTAAATGAAAACCAGAAAGAGAGACCAGTAGGTCTAAGTGAATGAAACACAAAACAGGAATTTAAAATGATGATAATCAAGTATGAGCTTAAAGAGTCTCAACATCAGTATTCTACAATGTAGTTGCCAACTGTATGTAAGGGATACCTGGGCCAAACCATCATCTGATGCAATTAGCACAGCTATACTGAAGTGGCAACATACTGATTTACACCAAGTAAGAACATGGGGGTGGGGCTTGTCTGTGGGTGAAAGTTTGCAGTAGGGCAAGGTGCAGAGTAGCATACCTACTATTCTGCACTAACTCCCTGTGCGGATTCTCAGGGCGCCTACACACGTGCAGGGAGGCTACTCAGACGCACTGTAATTACAGCACATTGGAGCAGACTCAATTACTCGAATGCTGGAGCATGGTAATTACTATACTCCAGCAGACTCCAGAGTCATCAGCCTTCCCACTCCGAAAAATAGTGGTGGGGGCACTTTAACCAAAATTTGTTCAACGAGCTTTAGTTAAAAGTGCCATCACCACTATTTTTCAGTTCCAGGATGCAGATACACATGATGCTCCAGGCACTTTAATTAGCCGCTCTAATTAAAGTGGCTCACCAAAAGCATCTGGGAATGTCTCCTAGCTAAAAGGGAGGCGTACACCCAATACACCCAGAAGGGAGGGGCCAGCACCAGGGAGGACTATACTGCGGTTGCTCGGGGATGTAGGGGGGCAGTCAGGAAGGCCAAGGCGGAGATGGAACTGGGACTAGCTTCCCAGATCAAGGACAACAAGAAGTCCTTTTTTAAATACATAGGGGGCAAAAAGAAAGTATCGGGTAACGTGGGGCCCCTGCAGGACATGCTAGGAAATTTGGTCGTCACACCAGACGACAAAGCTAACCTATTTACCAACTTCTTTGCCTCCATTTTCCTGAGCAGGGACCGTATCAGCCCCCCCACTGG